GATCATTAAACCTCAGAAATCTTGTTTACACAAGTATTCATTAATTTGACGCAGTTATGAAATACTTTATGAATGCTTCACTTGTTGTCAGGCAGGTTTCTTGTGAAGACAACACATTCTGTTGTTTCCGTTACCAGTTACCAACATATTAATGCATAAAGGCGACAATTTATGGATTTCAATTTCTTTATTTCAGAGTATATGATTACACCTTCATCAGATCTTACCTACAAATATGTACACACAGCGTAAAATATGCAAGAATACATAGTTCATCTTCTCTTAATTCTCTATGTACAGAGTCTGTTTCTTTGAAAGTACATAGGATAGGTTAGGACATGATATTTATATAGCGCACATAACCACGCAACTAGTACATGCTCAAGGACCTGGTATTTTTCCCTCGATCACTGGATGTCAATCTCAACGGCACATCATATTATCAATCTCAACTCCCTGGGGAGTATACAACTCTTCCAGCCACAAGTTATTGCGGCTTTCCCATCCTTACGAGGTACCCATTCACAGCTGGGTGGACTGGGACACATAGTCACAGTACTTTGTCCAAGTTTACTGCACGTTGCTGTACCCGCAACTAGGTGTTAGTACGTATTCATGTTGCCACCATCTGGTCATTTACCAACGGATTCGTGGGTTCTGTTAAATGCACAAGGTTGTGTAATGTACACTAGGGGTTGTGGCAACACTGAAAGAGTCTGCACACGAAGCTGACTCCAAGGTTCTTACACCCGGTCACAGGTGGGCTCGATCCCGGCACCTCAACCTCGCTGGATCACTACCCTGGCACTAGCTCGTCCACCATAGCCGACAAGTAAATCATCATTTGCATTTACCAGTCCAATATTATAAGCTCCTACTCTGCCACGAGGATTTCTGCCATTTTCTAAATAAAGTGTAAACTCCACAGTCATGTTTGGCTCATAAGCCATATTTGATACATTTCCCTCTGTATTTCATTCATTTTCCTTTTTTGCTGTTGCTATGTTACACTTTATGTCATCCATCCCTTTGTCGAGACTGTTTTCGTATGTGTTGTTTTTCTCTGGAAGAGTATAAACTCTAACAAATACTACAGTATCAGTTGTGCCAATCAGTTTTTGCACTCAGCGTACAATGTTGCAAAATGAAATATTGATGTGACTATGCAAAGGGCAGAGTTCTACCAAACCTGGATATTTTTCCCAATGCGCTTTGCAAACACATTAACATATACACAATCTATAGAGAACTTCTTAGTTGTTTCAGAGAAGCAGGTAATGTTAAATTTCACCTGACACCACCAGACCTTGGTTCCATGCTTGTCATTTATTACTTTATCAATTTTGTCTGTATATAATTGTTTAGCCGTTCTGACGGGTGATGTAGCTTTATGTATGTATAGTCTGAATTTTGTCCAATCGGAAGGTAAGTTGCGCCATTTAACAATCTTGTTTGATCATTTTCGGATCAAACTCCGGGTTTCGTTGTTCATCCATGGCACATCTTTCGGCCTGATAGTGACAATTTTGTTAGGCACGTGTTTGTTACATGGATTAATTATGGTATTGTTTACTTGATCTGCTACTTGATTTATGTCACGAGAAGAAAGTATTGTATTCCAATCAAGAGAACTAAGTTCATCAGTAAGGGCCTCGATGTCGGTTGAAGTATAATCATAGATTTTTCTTTTATAAGTAACTTTTCCAGTTATTTTTCCTTCAAAGTAACATACACAGGACAGTGATCACTACATATAGGATCACGTACACCGGATTCTAGTACAGTAGCAACATGTGAAACAAAGATTAGATCAATCAAAGTACTAGAGGTAGGGGTAATCCTTGTAGGATCGGTTATGATTTGAGATCCATTTATCAATTTGATTTGATCAACTCTGCTAGAATTTGTGGTAAGAATATCTTCATTAAAATCACCAGTCACAATTGTAATCAAGTCAAGATCAACAGCGTTACCAACAGATTCTTCTATTAAATTCCAATAGGCGTCGCTTTTATCTGCCCTATAAAATGTCCCAATGAGATAATTTCGTTTCTTGCATCTTATTTTAACCCATATTGCTTCAAGCGCAGGCAAGACTAAATCATTCATACATTCGAAAGACACGTAGTTTTTACTATATACACTGTACTGCTACACCTCCACCCCTGTCTGTCTTTTCTTAATGGTAAATGGAAACCTGGAATTTTTATATCATTGCTATCTATACCGTGATGCAGCCATGATTCTGTTATACAAATGACATCGTATGATTCCAATTCAGCCTGGAGTATATCTAGCTTATCTCTAAGACTTCGTACGTATAAATGTATTATCTTAAGATCAGTGTTTCGCAATGGTCCGGGATTTGGGTGAACATCACCACAGATCAAGAGAAGGAAAATTATAATCAGAGAAAATTGTTTGGTATAAAGACATAATATCGAGAAATGATAACACTGTTTTCTAAATTTACAGGCAGATTTGCTATGAATATGACAAACAAATTAGCCCACTGCTTGTCTATATTGCATAACTTCAATCATTTTCAAAACCGGAAATACAAGTGTTATGATGGGTGGGCACATACAAAGATATGCAGTAACGAATTAATCTAAGCGTTGTTTATATAAAATACACGTATGCCGTCAAGTTATTTGGCATTAGGAAAAATGTTGATGCACATAATACAAAACATTTTAACTTCTGAAAAACAATGTGGTTCCTTGTGGTAAGAAACAAGTCATGACAATAGTTGTCAACGATGTAATAAACTAAAAGCAAAAAAATAAGGGTACCACAAAATGAAAGCTTCATCTGCAGTAAAAGAGGAAAAAATCATGGTGGACAATGTGTAACTCTGACATAACTGGGACACAGGGCAATCTGACCCACATTTCAATAACGCACGTGCTGCACGATCCTATCGCGTGATGGCATGTTGTGGAGAATGGAGGGCAAAGCGGGATGGATGTTGATCGGAAAATGTAAACTTTCTTAATGGATTTATACGGTGAATATAGTTACAGTTGGAATATTTGAAACGTGAGTATGATTCTGATATACATAATAGTAGAGACAGATAATTTTTTCCAAAAAAGACCCGGAAATATGTCCATATTGAATAAGCACAAAATGCATATAAAAGTTTATCCATGTTGGATCAACATCAAGTGTCCTAATTTAGGCATTGAATACGTGATACTTGACTATATTCATGCACACCCAGGTTGAACGATTCTGTATATGTCAAAAAATGGATGAACAAAAATGTGAATATGTCCATATGGAGTAAACACAAAAAGTAAATATGTCCATGTTTGTTAAACATATGGTGTGTTTATGTTTGTATTAGATAAACACAAACGTTGAATATGTTCATACACATACACAAACTGTGTGTAGTTTCGCCGTGAATAGCGCACGTGCTGCACGAGCATCTATCGCGTGGTGGCCTGGTGGCAGGTTGTGGAGAGTGGAGGGCAAAGCAGGGTGGATGATGATAGGAAAATGTAAACTTTCTTAGTGGATTTATACAGTGAATATATTTACAGTTAGATTCGATTTGAAACGTGAGTATGATTTTGATATACTTCATGGTAGAGACAGACAATCAAGAAACAGAAAAATGTCCATATTGAATAAGCACAATAAGTATGTGTATCCATGTTGGATCAACATAAAGTGTGCTAATGTACACATTGAATACGTGATACGTGAGTACCTTCATGCACACCCAGGTTGAATAACTCTCTATATGTCCAAATTGAATGAAAAAAATGTGAATATGTCCTATAATGGTAGGGTTATTTTCTTAGTAGAAATTAGGCTTGTATTTAGGGTTGGGACAAGGTTAGGCGTGGGCTAGGCTAAAAATAACACACCAGGCTTAGGCTTCAGTGGGCTGGTCCAGTTAGCTCTTGAGGGGTAAGGACCCGCTAGGCAAGTGCCTAGTATGCTTCTTCCCCATTGTTATGCAATGGGATCGGCCATTGTATGAGCATCTCATGAGCAGAGAGATCAGTCCACTGAACTTTTCTTTTGTAGGCATTTATTGGGTAATTTTCAGAGCATGGTTTTTATTGGGTAAGAGTTATAGGTTAGGGGTATAAAAGGGCAGATTATCTTTTCCTCTGCACTCTGGGGTCTTACAGAGGAAAGAAAGGTGAGAAATTCACTATTGTTTCTGTAGACTAGGCAAACAGAGTTTTAAGTTCCTTAAGTTTTAGTTTAAAGAAGAAATAAAGTTTTGGTTAGATAATGTTAGGTAGTTAATTTTTGTATTACTTTGCAGGGAACATTATTTTTGGGAATTAAGTTGGGATAAGGGACAATAGTATAGGTATATTTAATAGGGTTTTCACTTTTCGCAGGATCCTTGGAGGCATTTTTATTTTTGTTGTTTATTTAACTTAGTTTATTGTTGATTTTATGATATATATTAGTTGAGTTGGAAATAAATTTATTTGGTTTGCAAAATCTTGTGTTTGGTTGTCATTATGACTTTAAACCCCTGAATCCTGCGGACCTGAGGACCGGAAACTGGATCCTCTGTTACAGTCCATATGGAGTAAACACAAGATATAATCATGTCCATATTGAATAGACACAAAAAGTAAACATGTCCATGTATGAAGCCATATTTCCTTAGTATGTTTCCAATACAGCGTTGTGTGTGTATATAATGTAATTGTAAAATATGTAAATACCAAGGCAATCTAAGCTTGGAGAACCCTTCTCCCATACCGTTCCATTTTCTAGTAATATGTTTGAATATAAAAACAACAACTTAACCTTTTCAGTGTTTGGGTTACGGCATACCAAAAGGTAGTGTGATTAGTGTAATCACCTTTTGAACATAAATTCAGTGTTATTTATGCACGATCAGCTTCCAATCGCAATCATTATTCATAGGGAACTAGTGAGGGTTAACACCGCCCGCCTCAGCATCCCACTGGCAGCATTATTCACAGGTCATTAACGAAGGTTAACACCGCCCGCAATCGGTTTCATGGACCCCGCATCAAGGAACGGCCATCCCAAAACATTAGTGGCGTACGATGTGTGGGTATTGCATCATAATTGCGAAATATACATGGAGCATTCAGTAAACATTCTATGACTGCGCTAACTCTGGCAACGACGACGGACCATCGACAACACCGCTTGAAGAACGGGCGCTGTTTTGTCAGTACCAAGATCCGAATTCTAATCGTCGTTCAGTCGTTCAAGGTAAGGATATCGACAATCATAACAGTCAAAGAATACGTATCATAGAAATGAAAGAATAAATGCCACAAACAACAATATCATGGGATTCTGTGTCAGATAATTTCTGAGGCCACAGCTTTGGTCTAAGGGACATAGTTCGAATAGAACTCTGATAGACATACGGTTTCATTGAAGGTTGTTTTACCAACTCTGTTCGGACAAATACAAAATTGGGCAGTTGTGGGGTGGGCTGGGTTTGTATTTGGCGAGGTAAAGGTTCACATGTTAGCGCAATAATGTGAAATCATAACAGTCAATCAAAAAGGAAAATAGGAATATATATGTGTGTGTGTAATTCCTATCCTAGTCTTATGGGCGCTCTTCGGTTGAAACTGTGACAAACCGTTACCATTTATTGATCGTATACTTCAGGATACGGAAACAGGTCAATAAGAAAGGGTGTGGTTTGTGGAGATTGCGATAACACATTGGAGTGATGAAATACAGAGTGTACACTTTGGATAAACTGATCGAAACTGATTTACATTTCCTGCCCGCTGAATAAGTACCCAAGGGAAGAGGGCGGTGGTAAATATTGGTCAACGGCACAGTAGTTGTTATATGCTTTATTTAACGTCGCACGCACAACTAAGGTATTTCGGGGGAACAACAACTAGAAAACAGTAGGCAGTGTTACATTTATATCAAAACATCCTGTAAGTAATCGCATCTAGAGCAGGCATATCAGAGGTGAATGATCTACATCCCCACCCGTCGAGATGTCTCAAGGCCTGAGCACCTGAACTATTAACTCAACACCGTATCCCAATTGTCTGGTTCAGACTCGATGATTTACAGACCACCCCCATACAGCTGGAATAATGCTGAGTGCGGCATAAAATTACACTCATCCACTCACTTTTAACTAAAACTTTTACATGTCGAGACGGTGCCATTTTGATTTGGCCGCGTAATCACCGGATGCCGATTACAGTCAGCCAAACAGCAAATTTTGTTGGGACCAACAAGGGAATGCCTTCTTGAAAACCGGGGGAATACCCTTGTATATTCATACTTGATCGGATTATGCTTACGAGAACCTTTCACTTTGCAAAGTCGTATATGTGTGAAAATGTGTATGTACAGTAATGTTTCAATATACAGCACTTATGTGTACATATTATTTTTGTATCAGTGAACAATACATTGTTTGATTAATCACTGTTATCTTGTAAACGTACCAGTTATTGCCAGTCACTGAAGGGATGATGTAAATCCAGCTAGGGTCCATGCAGGTAGCAAAAGTACTGTAGGTCCCATGGAATCTATTATTGTGACTTAACTTCAGTGACTCGCGATATATAGAAATTGTTAGATTGTTCTTTATGTTTTTATGATTACATGCTAGTTTTAAATGTTCATCTGTGATAGTGTAGCTATTTTACTGCCCGGGTTAGAATATTGATCTTCGGTAACCCATGCTTGTCGTAAGATGCGACTAACGGGATCGGGTGGTCAGGCTCGCTGACTTGGTTGACACATGTCATCGGTTCCCAATTGCGCAGATCGATGCTTATGCTGTTGATCACTGGATTGTCTGGTCCAGACTCGATTATTTACAGACCGCCGCCATATAGCTGGAATATTGCTAAGTGCGGCGTAAAACAACCAAACTCAAGTCAAGTCACTCACTCACTCTAGCAGTTAGAGATGTACTGGAGATACTGTGCACGAAGGTGCTCATTTACACCAGTGGTTGTTTCTTTCCCAGATCTGACGTCACAAGAGATGTCCAGGTGGTACCTTGTTCTGGGACTCACGGTGGCGCTGTTTGATGAAGGGGCAGCAGCAGCAAGTATGTCACTATTTATTCTAGAGCATGTGCGGGATGGTGTGGGGTAGGCTGTGGTGTGAGTGAGTGGTACATATTTTAGCTATATGAAACAGACTATTGTTTTGTCCTGAGATATGATGTACACAGGCTACTTAGAGAACTAGGTGCTTCAAATGCATCATGGATTTGCCCCGATAATGACCCTTTGTTTGCTAGGGGCTTAGTGGTTTATTAACCAGATCGGTTTGGTGTCAAACAATTTGTATATATTGTTAAGGTATATAATTTGCCGTGACAGAAGGTTTGTGAGTCCCCTTTTAATCAGCAAAATAAAATACGGACACGTCTATGATATCCAATAGTGTATTGAATAAACAAGGTTACAATGAATGACAGTACACATTTCTAATACAATACTATTGGGTCACAAATCCAAAATATTATATAACTAAATGTCTATAGTTACCGCAGTCTTGATTCTTATCGATGTACTGATTGAACGGCAGTTGAGACGATGTTAGCAGACAGATGAGCGTACATCCGAAGCAGTCCCCAAAGTCAAGCAGTGTAAATAAACTTAGGTTCAGTATTATTCGTTACACTGCTATATACTGAACCTAACAAACCTAGTAGAAGTAACATATGTTATATTCGGGATTACACTTTCTTAGAAAAGTACAGATTCTAGTACTTTTGGGGTTGAATCCCGTCCGGGATTCGAACCAACACCCTCAGAGTCAGGCACCTAATCGCCAGCACACAAAGTCAGACGCCTAGACCGCTCAGCCACCGCGGCTTCCACCCAAAAAGTACTAGAATCTGTACTTTACTAAGAAAGTGTAATCCCAAATATACCATATGTTACATTTGATCACTTTCTAAAATGGCATTGTGTATTTCATACCCTAGTAGAAGGTCGCGTCAGCTAACCTTTGAGCGACTCATCACCGTCAAATCAAACGCGAAACGGCCGAACGGATTTAACCAATCAGACAACGACTACTTGTTAAGGTTCTGCGGGACTTACAAAATGGTTTTTGGATTTTCTCTTCTTGGTCGCTTACACTGATCTATCAAGAAACGAAAATCCGCATAACACACAGATATTTGACTTGCAGTATATATACACTTAGGGGCTTCTAATGACATGGTTACATTTAGCTTATATTTCCGCAAGATAAGATCCTTGAATACTGACAAAAACGCTATTTTCAGCGACTGTTTACTCATTGCGCCCTCCATGTGTATCACTCGGAAGCGATCGTGCGGAATATAGAATTCGGAATCGTTCGTGTTTTTGAGGTAGAGGTTCAAACGGTATTTGCGAATGTTAACTTTCACGATTTGGTTAGCTGTGTTCTGATTGGTCAGTCCAAAAGGTTAGCTGACGCGACCTTCTACTAGGGTTTGTAGGACTATAGCAGCTGTAGTGTAACGAATTATACTGAGCCTAAGTTTACTTAGACTGCAAAGTCGTGTCGAACATCTCAGCAACCAATCCTCATATACCTATCACACAGTGAGAATTCTAGCAGTAGCTTCACCTCACTACAGCCATTTAGATCACACTACTATCATGCTGAACGCACGCGAATGAACGCCACAGTCTCATACCGGGAGCAGCAAAGAGGAGGTAACTCTAGCTTACTCTCAACAGGTGAAAATACATAGCCTGTACTTCAAATCAATTCATACTCAGCGCTTTAAACTTTTGTGACCAATAATAACTAAAAGTTAGTTAATGTGACATTTTAATTAACAAATACACATCCTCATGACACTATGCTGTAGTGGTGGTGTTTCAGCCAGAAACGTATCAAGTTTGAAGTAATCTGATTTGTTTTGTGTTCTCTGGGTTCTGCATTGCGATCACATCAATTCTTCAATTAACACCAACAGCCCTGACATCACGACCTAGCTATCATCACCAAGTTTAGATGCCTGGTCAGGAATCTCCCCCACCTCCCTCAGTACGTACCTCATGTATAGTCGATCCTACCCAAATTTGGATGAGGCTTTCATCTCTTCAGTTGGCCATACTCAGCACATTTCGATTCCAGTCTCGATTATTGAGAGGGCGTCGTGATAAAGCTGGTATATGCTGCTGTCTTGTGAACAAGATCTAACAGTCAACATTACTGGTCATTGGTACTTTCACACTATGAACAGCACTGGCACTATCAGCCCCACCGTCCTCCCACAGACATCAATATATTTACCACAAAGGATCACAGTAGTTGTCATCATCTGTGACGGCAACTCATCGCTGACACCAGCATGATCACGTGCCAGTTTCATTACCAACTTTTTCTTGATTATTTATGCGATTTAATCCTCAAAATGTTAGGTCCTATTTCATTAATGGTCGTGTATCAATGTCTATGCATTAACAGACTGATATCTGTCCCTTTTCAGATTGTACGGAGAACTGTGCATTGTGTAACCATGGCTGTGTAGCTTGCAAACAAGGCTATTACAAGACTGAAGGAAAGTGTGAAAAATGTAATCCGAATTGCAAGAGATGTTATAGCACGGGCCTGTGTTATTTCGAGTGTAAAGATGGTTGGTATGGCCTGTCTTGTTCACACGCATGTTCGTGTAGTTATGGCACCTGTGACAAGTACATTGGGGTTTGTCCTCATCAGACAGGTAAGCGTTCAATGTATTATTATATATTACATTATAATTCATGTTGATGATAATAAACACCTTGTTGTAGAAATGAAGTTATGTGGTTCCATCGCTTGGTGGGCCACACCAGCAAATAATTAACTAACTTTATTTCACAGAGATAGTTAACAGAGGTTAGCATAGCAGAAATGGCAATAATATTTCTACTTAAATGTATAAAGAATTGAGCCATTCTAAGTTTGAAATAAATCATTTTAATAGAGATGGTATATGAGTGTAATATTTTCGGGTAAGTTTTTTCTTAGAGATGAAGATGTAGCCTGATTTTGCATTTATTGGGTAAATATTGTAAATAAAATTCCATGTCAGTGTTGTTTTTCATATTCTTATAAGTCTGCATTTGAAAGATGATTCGATATTTGAATGCCATTTCAGTATATAATGATCTCTTCAACTATTCTTTTTATAGATCCACCGGTGTCGAGTGCACACAATCATAACTTCTACGATGACGAATCCTTTGCTGGAAAATTATTTGGTGTCCTTGCATTTACCATTTTCATGATGGTTATATGTTGTTGCTGTATGAAAAGGAAAAAAAAGCGAGATGAGGAGCAGATGGCAGATGATACCCCTGACATAATTCCTCCATCTCAGAACTTATTACCTGGACAGACCCCGATTACTACGAGGTCAACCAATATAACCTATCCAAATTTTTTTGCGGGCAATTTCTCAACCTACACCAGTAACAATGGTAATGGCATAATGTGCCCTCCACAACGAAGGGACCTTGCACCACCACCATGCGCCACATATAGTGATCAACAAATGGACCCAGCACCACCACCTTGCGCCACGTATAGTGGGCAACAAATGGACCAAACACCACCACCTTGCGTCACATTTAACGGACAACAAACAGACACTGATCCACCGCCTTCCTACACAGCAAGTGTACAACGGGCAAACATGCCGCCGCCACCTTCATATGAATCTCTTTTCGATTCAAACAGAGAACGCACCCAAGAACCATTTATATATGAAAATGCACCACGGTTATAGCATTTTGACATTAGCGCATTAGTGTATATTAATGAAGACGAACACGATATTGATGTCACATAATGTGGATCGTCACGTAGGGAAATGTAACAACTGTACCAACTCTGGAGTGTACATTTTAGAAATCAGAGTAAGAGCTTATAATATTCGACTGGCAAGTACAAATGTCAGTGCGATCAGGAGGGATTGCTCATAGCCCGTAAAGATCCGGGTTAGAATTGGTCTTAAACAACCCATGCTTGTCGTAAAAGGCGACTAACGGGATCGGGTGGTCAGGCTCGCTGACTTGGTTGACACATGTCATCGTATCCCAATTTCATAGATCGATGCTCATGCTGTTGATCACTCGATCGTCTGGTCCAGACTCGATTACTTACAGACCGCCGCCATGTAGCTGGATATCGCTGAGTGCGGCGTTAAGCAACCAAACCCAAATGATAATTTGTTCTTATTTTGAACAGCCAACAAGTGATGATGTACTTTTAAAAGATCCATCTGTAAATAAAGTTTTGTAAGCATTATATTTTGTTCTTAATTGATTAATTCTGGTCTATAGTGTGATTCAATTGTTTCTGAGTTTTCGAATTTGGTCAATTTTAGGTCAACTGGTGGCATACACTCACACAGTATGCAATGATTCACGCGGTAACCCATACACCCACGCAGTATAGGGTAATTCACACAGTAACCCATACACTCACACAGTGTAGGGTGATTCACGACAGTAGCCTATACACTCAGGCAGTATGGGTTGATTCCAAACAGAAACCCATGCACTCACGCAGTATAGAGGGATGCTCGCAGTAACCCCTACGCTCAGGCAGTATGGGTTGATTCACGGCACTTGTCCATATACTCACATAGTATAGGGAGATACACAGTCATTTGTGGCCCTTCACAGATATCAGTACACTCACAGTCGTGGGTGGTCCATCACAGATATCAGTACACTCACACAGTCATTGGTGGCCCTTCACAGATATCAGTACACTCACAGTCATTGGTGGCCCTTCACAGATATCAGTACACTCTCACAGTCATTGGTGGCTCTTCACAGATACCAGTACACTCACAGTCATTGGTGGTCCTTCACAGATATCAGTACACTCTCACAGTCATGGATGGCCCTTCACAGATATCAGTACACTCACAGTCGTGGGTGGCCCTTCACAGATATCAGTACACTCACAGTCGTGGGTGGTCCTTCACAGATATCAGTACACTCACAGTCGTGGGTGGTCCTTCACAGATATCAGTACACTCTCACAGTCATGGATGGCCCTTCACAGATATCAGTACACTCACAGTCGTGGGTGGCCCTTTACAGATATCAGTACACTCACAGTCGTGGGTGGCCCATCACAGATATCGGTACACTCACAGTCTTGGGTGGCCCTTCACAGATATCAGTACACTCACAGTCGTGGGCGGTCCTTCACAGATATCAGTACACTCACAGTCGTGGGTGGCCCATCACAGATATCAGTACACTCACAGTCGTGGGCGGCCCGTCACAGATATCAGTACACTCACAGTCGTGGGTGGCCCTTCACAGATATCAGTACACTCTCACAGTCATGGATGGCCCTTTACAGATATCAGTACACTCACAGTCGCGGATGGCCCTTCATAGATATCAGTACACTCACAGTCGTGGGCGGCCCTTCACAGATATCAGTACACTCACACAGTTAAGGGTAGTCATCCAGGGATATCAGTATATAGAGAATACTACACTCGGTCTCATTATATACGAATTATACGAAACGAGTGTCCTCCTATGGTATCTGACCATAGGAAGGTCACTAGTTTCGTATAATTCGTATGTAATGAGACCGAGTGTGGTATTTTATTTATTACCCACGTCTTACATGCATTGAATTGACAAAAAAAGCGCATTTTTGTTATTTTTATGGTTTCAAACCGAAACCGGTTTCATAAAGAGGTTGCGGAAGCGTTTTGTATTGTAGTACAATATTTGCATGACGTCACAATGTAATGACGTCACTGCCTTGGTAACCGACGTCACGATGCATGTCAGTTGTCATCGCCTCGTACAGCCTCCTACAGTAAACTACTCCGTAGCACCCCGTTTCTTGGTTTGCAGTTGCTTCTTTCGGCTAACATCACTGGTGGAAACATTGCGTTTATGTTTTTCGACGGATATAATGTCTCACAATTAAACAGCGACACGGCAAACGTTCGCAATGTTTACACTCCCACAATGCATTTAAGTTGTATTATGAATGAATTCACGTCTTTGTTATGAATGAAAAAATAGTTACGTCAGAATGTGACCTAATTGAGAGGTCATCGGTTATCCAATCAAGGTCAGAGGTTAGAATCATAGGTCAAGTCGTTACGTCACAGGTCAACGCGATACGACACTCGTGTGACGTACGAGATTAGTATGCAACTACCCATACGTAGACCACGTGGGTAATAAAGATAGATCCAGCACAGTGATCAATACACTCACAATTGTTCTTTATTCGTTTTGTAATTGTTTTCAAACTAACTCATGGTTTCCGCTTTGTCTGGAACAGGTTTGCAACTCGTCTGCCGGTTTGTCTCTGGTCCGTCTTAAATGGTATCCCAACATATTTCTGTGAGGCTATAGAGGAATTATTCATCCGTCAACATGTCACAACAATCTGATACCGCCTGCTGAAAAATCAATAGGACCAGCATACTAATTGCCGTGTCCTATGAATGACTAGAGAAACAGCCTCAATGCCCAGGCAACCAGCCAGAATCACTCACAAACCCTTCCGAGATACTGGAACGACATCATCAAAGTTCATGTTTAAATAATATCTGCGAATGACATACATCAACAATGGCAGCAATAGCACGGGCATTGTTTTGATAAAACTCATGATCTTGCCGAAAGTGTATATGCATACTTTGTGTGCATGTATGCTGTTGAACGTGAAATTACAGATACAGGTGCCTAACTTTGACAGTTTGGGTTACCAAGCTCGGATTGGACTAAACCTCAAAAGCACCAGAATCTGCACATTCCCAGGTATAACACGTTACATTTCATCACCATACGTTTTGAAGCATCGGCGCAGTGGCGCGGTGATTAGGTACCTTAGATTACAATCAGAGTGTGTGTTAAAATTCCGCATAGGATTCAAACCCGTAAAAGTACTAGTATTGGTACTTTACTGATGAAGTGTAAAGTGCAAGATATCATTGACCACACAGTTGTATCCTCATTCGTGCAGTACTACACAAGTAAACTGTCATTTCATGTATTTATTAACATACTTAGTGACATTTGTCAAATATAACACGTCAAATATGACACTAATGGTCGTTTTTATTGTTTATTCGTTGATTTCAGAAAGGCATTTGATTCCATTAATCGTAAATTATTGTGGTTCTCAGTTTTAAATAAAGGTATTCATGGTAGAATATTTACAGTATTATTGGACATGTACTCCAAAGTTAAATCTGCTGTTAAACTGTCAAATAGTTCCATTTCTTATTATTTTGATACTTTAAGTGGCGTAAAGCAGGGGTGCATTTTCAGTCCTTTGCTGTTCCCTCTTTTTGTTGTTGAGTTGGAAACTATGTTACAGGAATCGAATGTCCGAGGTACATTTGTTGGTCAAGAGTTTCGTGATATTATATCTTTATTTTATGCTGATGATCTGTGTTTGTTTGGTGATAGTGTGATTGGTCTAAAGAGAAAAATAGATGTATTGGAGCAGTTTAGTATCAAATGGGGTTTGTATGTCAATTTAGATAAGACTGACATTTTAGTTTTAAGAAATGGTGGCAAGTTACTGTTTTCTGAAAAATGGATGTTTGGCAATAAAACTATTAAGACATCGACCTATTATAATTATCTTGGGTTAACGTTTTCTAACAGGTTATGTTGGTCAAAGGTATTGAAGTTCTTGTTCAAAAAGCATCAAAAGCCTTAGTATCCGTTAAACAATTAGAGCGTAAGTTTCAGAATATTTCTTCTTTAGTTTTATTCAAGATATTTGATGCTCAGATTAAGCCAATCTTACTCTATTCTAGTGAAGTGTTGGGTCATTCAAAGTTTGAATGCATCGAGCGTTTTCGTGTTCAGTTTTGTAAATATGTTATTGGTGCGGGTAGTTATGTCTCTAATGTTGCTGCACTTGGTGAATGTGGTAGATATGGCTTATTTGTTGATTGTCATAAAGATGTATTCAGTATTGGTTAAAGTTGCTATCAATGCCTAATCATAGATATCCTAAGCAAAGCTATCTTCTGTGTAAATCTTTAGACGACTGCAATCGTGTTACATGGGCTTCAAAGGTTAAAATGTTCTGTTCTCTTATGGTTTTGGATTTGTTTGGATCTCTGAGGAAGTTGGTAATTGTTCTTTATTCCTTAGTAAGTTTGTGCAACGGGTTAAAGATTGCCACCAACAAGATTGGTTTTCTAAAGTTTGTGAATCAAATAAGTTATGTTTCTATCAAGAATATAAATGTCTATTGACAGTTGAATATTATTTATCCACTCTAAAAGATCGCGAATATAGAAGGATTTTATTTTTGCTAAGATCTGGGGAATTGCCTTTATTGATTAACGCTAGTAGATGTTGTGGTATTGTTCGCAATGAACGATTTTGTAATTTATGTATGAATGGATGTATAGAAGATGAATACCATTTTCTGTTAATATGTAAAGTTTATTCCATTTTAAGACAAACGTATATTCCTGAAAATGTCTGGAAACATACCTCTTTTTATAAATTTAACATGTTATTAAGTTGTGACAAAGTGAATATCCTAATTAACTTAGCAAAATTTGGAAAAGAAGCTTTAAGGTTAAGAAGTGCTTAAAAGGTGTATCTAACCATTTTGTCACTTGCATTATTTTTTTGTGAGTTTTTGTACTTGGGCCTATGGCCTTTATGCTGAATAAAAGTTTGAATTGAGTGATATTTGTCAAATATAACACTTCACAAGAAACGGACGCAAGTGGCGTCTACTGTCGTTTCCCGGTCATGATAACAAGTGAAGCACTCAAAAAATATTTTATCCATACGTCACATTAATGCCGTCTTCGTGAGTACAGGACACTTGTGCTTTGGTCATCACATACAATATACTCTGTTTTGAGCAAAGATCTCTTGAGATTATGACTTTTCTTTGTTGTTTGATTAGTTCTGTTCTTATCAATATAAAATCTTGCTATAGTCTTCATGTTGTCATCTATGAAATTAGTTGACAGAGAGCTCCTGGGAGATTTTCCAGTACCTTTAAGGACCATGCT